GCACACGCACACGCGCTCGCGCACGCGCACGCACGCGCACGCGCACGCGCACGCGCACGCGGACGCGCACACGCACGCGCACACACACGCGCAGACGCACGCGCACGCGCACACGCACGCGCACACGCACACGCACACGCGCTCGCGCACGCGCACGCACGCGCACACGCACACGCACACGCACAACGCACAACGCACACGCACACGCACACCGCACACGCGCACGCACACGCACGCGCACACACACCCACACACACACCCACGCGCACACGCACGCGCACACGCACAACGCACAACGCACAACGCACACGCACACGCACACGCACACGCACACGCACAACGCACAACGCACACGCACACGCACACCGCACACGCGCACGCACACGCACAAGCCGACGCACACGCCGTCGAAACACGCACACGCACACGCACAAACGCACACAGCACACGCACACGCACACGCACACGCCACGCACACGACGCACAAACGCACAACGCACACGCACAAGCACACTCACACGCACACGCACTACGCACAACTCACACTCACCACGCACACGCACACGCACACTCACACCACACTACCACGCACACGCACTAAAGACCGCACACGCACAACACACACAAACACAACTTATTCCTATTCATATATTTTTCCAGGGCCCGGGACCTTAGAAAAAGCGCCCCCCCCCCCCCTCCTAACGAATTTGGCCCGCCCCAGGCCTCTCGGGCAACCCTCCAGACGACACGGGAGAACCTCACGAGAGCCCGAAGACGGCCCCAGAGGGCTCCAGGCGTTCCAGCGCGCTCCCGAAACGACCCCAGCCAGCCACCCCAAGACGGTCCACGACGGCCCCGAAGAAGCTGTCATACCCCGAAAGATCGTTCCAAAACGTCCGAGCATTCCCAAGAAGGCCCCAAGAGGCAAAATTCATTGATTCTGTTACAGTTTTTGGTGAATTTTGGGGTACTTCTTTTTTCGGCTTCCCGACGCTTCAAGACGGCAGTCTTCTGGGCGTCCGAAGCCGCCTGGGAGTCTCGAAAAACGCCCCACAAACATCCGAAAGGGCTCCCAGGCAGTCCAAAAGAGCCCTAAGACGGCACAACAGGGCTTCAAGATGGCCTAGGAGAGCCCCATGACGGCCCAAGATGGCCCCAATACACCTTCCGGAGCATTCCAAATCGTGACCCGGTCGTTCAGGGAGACCGCAGTTGGAGGCAGGGCGAGGAAGCCCCCAGAGGCCCCCAGAAGACGCCCAGGAGGCCTCCAGTAGGCCTTAAGAAAGCTTGGAAAACTTGTATGAGGCCCCCAGAGGCTCTCCAAAGAGTAACCTCCGCAAAAAGAGCTGAAGAGGATGGAGAGAATACGCAGGGTATGGCGAGAATGAGGACAAACACATGGAGGAATGATAACGAATAACATTGTTTTAACGGCGACGCCAGAAAAGGCAACAAGAAGTTATCGCTAAAATGTCAGTTTGACCTTCCTGCCACTCCGCCTGCATACCAAACTTCAAGGACCAAGGTGAATAGCGCTAAGTGCCAATGCAGTCTTGTACATGTATGTATGCATGTCTGTCTGTCGGTATGTATGTATGTACGCATGTATGTATGTATGTATGTATGTATGTATGTGTGTGTGTGTGTATGTATGTATGTTTGTATATAGTATATGTGTATGTGCGTACACATGGATGTATGTATGTGTGTATGTATGGATGCCTGCATGTGTATGCATGCATGCATGCATGCATGCATGCATGCAGGTATATATGTTTGTATGTAGGTATCTATGTATGTATACATGTATGTATGTATGCATGTATGTATGTATATATGTATGTATGCATGCCTGTGTGTATGTATGTATGTATGGATGTATGTATAGATGTATGTATGTATGTATGTATGTATGTATGTATGTATGTATGTATGTACGTACGCACGTACGTATGTATGTATGTATATATGTATGTATGTATGTATGTATGTATGTATGTATGTATGTATGTATGTATGTATAAATGTATGTGTGCATGCATGTATCTACATGCGTATGCATGTTTGTATGTATGTATGCATGCATGGTTGTATGTATGTATGTATGTGTGTATGCATGTATGTGTGAATGTATGTATAGGTGTATGTATGTATGCATTGAGCTATGCATGTATGTATGTGTGTATGCAGGTATGTATGCATGTATACATGCATGCATGTTTGTATGTATGTATGTATGCATGAATGTATGTATGTATGTATGTATGTATGTATGTATGTATGTATGTATGTAAGTAAGTAAGTATGTATGTATGTATGTATGTATGTATGTATGTATGTAGGTATGTAGGTATGTGTGTTTGTGCAACGTACATCCATGTGCGCGTGTGCACATGCATGCGCATATTCATGCGCGAATGTACACGCGCACGCACGCCGCCTGCGCGCGAAACTCGAAGGACCGCGACAGTGGTGACGGCGGCGTCGACGGCGACGGTGCCGGCGGGGACGGAAGCGTCGGCGTCGACGTCGGTGGCGGCCTCCTCTTCCTGGCAAGCGTGATGCTCAGGCAGCCGTGGCCTTCGGGGCGCTCGAAGTCGCGCGCGGCCCGCGTGCGCGCGGGAGCGCTGCGGTTCTTCTGACCATGGACGGCCCCGCGGCCGCCGACAGCAGGACCCTGGGCCGCGGCGCGGGAGAGGGGCTCAGCGGGGGAGACTCGACAGCGGGGTGCTCCTCTTCCTCGTCCTCCTTGTCCTCCTTCTCGTGTGCGGGAGAAAAGAAGCACAGTGCAAGGGGGAGAGTACGAACAGCAGTAGAGAGATTCACATTGCCATGTAGTTGAACAGGTCATGTTAGGGCACGAAACGGTAACACTTTACCCGTGCCTTAAACGACAGCCGAGACAATCCTCCTCCTCCTCCTCGTCTTCTCCCTCCTCGTCCGTCTTGCCCTCCCCTCCTCCCCCATCCCTCTCCACGTCCCCTCTTCCTCCTCTGAGAGGGGGCGGGCAGGGAAGGAGGCGGGGAGGCGGGGAGGCAGGGAGGGAGCGAAGGTTTTTTCCTCCGCTCTGTCCTCGCTCCCCCTCCTCCTCCTCCTCCTCCTCCTCCCCCCCCTCCCTCCCCCCTCCTCCTCCTCCTCCCCCCCCCTTCTCCTCCTCCTCCTCCTACCCCCCCCGCCCCCCCTCCTCCTCCCTCCTCTCCCGCCCTTCTCCCCTCCTCCCCCTCCTCCTCCCCCCCCATCCCCCTCCCTCCGCCTCCTCCTCTTCCTCCTCCTTCTCCTTCCTCCTCCTCCTCCTCAACCTCCTCCTCCTCCTCCTCCTCCTCCTCCTCCTCCGCCTCCTCCTCCTCCTCCTCCTCCTCCTCCTCCTCCTTACCTTCCTACCTCCTCCCCCACTCCCCCCCTCCTCCTCCTCCTCCTCCTCCTCGTGCTCCATTTCTCTTTCCCTTCTGCGCAGCGGCCCGTCCCGCGGCGCCGCCACCAGGCGTGGCCGTGGGCCGAGCGGGGCGCGTTCGCTTCGGACTCCCGTGGCAGTCGGGCACGTCCCTCCACAGAAGGAACATTCAGAAATAGTCCCTCCGCAGGAGGAACATTTAGAAATAGTCAGACTCTCGCTTCGCTTCGCGCGTCCCTCCACAGGAGGAACATTCAGAAGTGTGGCTGTGACTCTCGCTTCGCGCGTCCCTCCACAGGAGGAACATTCAGAAATAGTCAGAACATAGTATGGGGACGTTTTTTTTCCCCAAAACAGCTTGCTGAACGGGGTGCTGCTGTGGTAGAAACTAACTCCGGTCGAGGGAACGCGGAGCAGAGACATCCTCACACAGATGTTATGGCTTTGGCCGTTTCGCTTGAGACATCCTCACAACTCTCGTTTCTGAGTTGGCCGGGATTGGCCGGGATTGGCCGTTTTTTTTTGGGGGGGGGTATTTTTGATCATTTCGGCGGTATTTCTTGCGTATGGCTTCTTTCCCGCCCAAAATCCCCCTCTGTCTGGGGGGACAGGCCCGAGCTACACCAGGAGGAAATTCAGAAATAGTCAGAACATAGTATGGGGACGTTTTTTTTGTTGGGGGGGTATTTTTAATCATTTCGGCGGTATTTTTTGCGTATGGCTTCTTTCCCGCCCAGAATCCCCCTGTCTGGGGGGACAGGCCCCACCCAACAACAGCGACACAGTCGGAGGGCTGGTCGTCTTTGACACGCGGCTGTCGCCTCCGTGACGCGCGCACCTCCGCTCTGGATGCCCCGGGCAGCTGCCAGGATGGAGGGCCCGGTCGCTTTCAGGATGCGGCCATCACTTTTAGCGCCGCGCGCACTCGCTCAATGGCTTCCGGCAGCTGCACGGAGGGAGGCCGGCCCCTTCTCCAGCACGCGGTGCTCGCCTCGGCGCCGAGGGCACTCGTTCTCAGCGCTTCCGGCGATACTGTCAGAATCAAGGCTGGCTCTTTTGCTGCAATTCGGCGCTCGCTTCCGCGCCGAGCGCGCTCGTCTGCAGCGAGCCCACCAGATGTACGCAAGGGGGCGGGGTGGTATGCAGAATGCGGCTACCGCCTCAGTGTCGCGCTCCTCCTCCTCCTCCTCCTCCTCCGCCTCCTCCTCCTCGAGCCTCCTGTATCCTCGATCCCCCTTCTGCATCCTCCTCCTCCTCGATACTCCTGAATCCTTGGCCCCCTTCTCTATCCTCCTCCTTGGTGTTCGATTCTCTTCCTTGGTGCCTCACCTCGATCCTCATCACTCGCTGATCCTCGGTCCTCCTGGATCGTTGACCCTCGGTCCTCCCCCTCGGTCATCGATCCCTGGACCTCAGCACCCCTCGTCGATCCTCTTCTTCCTACTCGATCGCCGATCGTAGATCTTTCTTTTTCCGTCCGTCTTTCCTCACAGCTCAGCCAACCACTCTCTGCAGCACAGCCAGACGTCTTGTGAGGGCGGGTCGGGCGTTGACGCTCCCGGATGCAGGAGGCCTACACCTCTTCAGAATTGGGGCTCTTTCCTCCTCCTCCTCCTCCTCCTCCTCCTCCTCCTCCTCCTCTCCTCCTCCTCCCCCTCCCTCCTCCTCCTCCTCCTCCTCCTCCGCCTCCTCCTCCTCCTCCTCTCTTCTCCCCATCCCCCTCCTCCTTCTTTTCCTCCTCTCCTCATCCTCCTCCTCCTCCTCCCTCCCTCTCCTCCTCTCCTCCTCCTCCTCCTTTTCCCCTTTCCCCCCCCCTCCTTCCCCCCCCTTCCCCCCCCTCCTCCTCCCCCTCCTCCTCATCCTCCTCCTCTCATCCTCCTCCTCCTCTCCTCCTCCAGCCTCTCCTCCTACCTCGAGCCTCCTCCTCCTCGAGCCTCCTGTATCCTCGATCCCCCTTCTGCATCCTCCTCCTCCTCGATACTCCTGAATCCTTGGCCCCCTTCTCTATCCTCCTCCTTGGTGTTCGATTCTCTTCCTTGGTCCTCCTCCTCGGTCGATCCTCATCGATCCTGCCTCACCTCGATCCTCATCACTCGCTGATCCTCGGTCCTCCTGGATCGTTGACCCTCGGTCCTCCCCCTCGGTCATCGATCCCTGGACCTCAGCACCCCTCGTCGATCCTCTTCTTCCTACTCGATCGCCGATCGTAGATCTTTCTTTTTCCGTCCGTCTTTCCTCACAGCTCAGCCAACCACTCTCTGCAGCACAGCCAGACGTCTTGTGAGGGCGGGTCGGGCGTTGACGCTCCCGGATGCAGGAGGCCTACACCTCTTCAGAATTGGGGCTCTTTCCTCCTCCTCCTCCTCCTCCTCCTCCTCCTCGGCTTGTCATCCTCACTCTACCTATACCTCAATCCGCCCTCTCCCTCATCCTCCTTCCTCCTCCTCCTTTTCCCCCCCCCCCCCCCCTCCTGACCCCTCCCTGTTCCTCCATCCTGCTACACTCACCTCATCATCCTCCCCTCCTCCTCCCGTGCCTTCCCTCCCTCCTCCTCCTCCTCCTACCTACCTCCCCCCTCCCCCCCTCCTACCTTCTCCTCCTCCTCCTCCTCCTCCTCCTCCTCCTCCTCCTCCTCCTGCTGTCGCCGTGACTGCCACGGCGACAGCAAGAAGATTGCCACCGGCACCGAAACCTGGGGTCCTCTTCCCCCCCTGGAGGCAGTCTTTTTTGTGATGGTGCCGGTGCCTATTTCCAGGCCTTGGCCAGCCCTGACTCCAGATCCGCCCTATTTTGGCTTTTTTCCAACTTAAAATTGCGTCGGAAATCCACCTATAAGAGGCCGAAGAAGTAGGGCGGAAATTTCTGCACCCAGCATAGAATAGGGCGAAAATCCACAGAAGTAGGGCGGAAACAACAACAGAAAAGTAGGGCGGAAATTGGCATCAGCGGGGCTTGAAAAGTAAGGCGGAAATTCCAAGCCCTACTTACGAATTTCCCCAAAGTAGGGCGGATCCAGAGTCAGGGAGGCCGGGAGGGCGCGCGCACGCGGCTCCCGGGCGCTCCGGGGAGGGGCCCGGCCAGGAGCGGCGGAGGAGTGGAGTTAAGTCGGGCCTGTCCCTCTACAGGGGGGATATGGAAGAATAGTCCAAAAACAGTCTGGGAACGTTTTTTTTTTTTTTTTTTTTTTTTTTTTTGTTTTTTGACCATTTTACTTTTTTTTCCTTGTCGACGATCCCCCTGGAGGGGGACACGCCCGACTTTAGAGTAGAGCTCTCTTGGTGCAGGCCCCCAACAGGAGCGCCGTGCGCGCCTCCCTGGCCAGGCCGGGGAGGCGCGCCCATGGGGAGGGGCCCGGCCAGGAGCGGCGGAGGGCGTGTATCGAGCAGTGGCGAGGCGTCCTGGCGTGCTAGTCCTACCAAACAGTGTTCGGAGAACCTTTTGTGCTTCCCACGACGTGTTCTCAGAACATGTTTCTGGCTGGGACTGCCCCGTCTCATCACTTTGGGCTCATGTTCTGAGAACCTTTGCTTTGTTCTTAGAGCACTTCTGGGCTCTAAGAACATCACCGGGCGCGTTCCACTACTCGCAAAGTGCCTACTCGCAAACGTCCGAAAAGCACATGTCTGTCTTGATGTAATGTATCGTAGATCCCCAGCGGGGGATCCAGGCCACTTGCGAGTAGCTACTTTGCGAGTGGTGGACCGCGCTCGTCTAGAACCTGTCGTGGTAGGACTGTAGAAATGCCGGGACGGTCGGTGCCTGCTCGAGTGTAGTCAGAGCCCCGAATCATCAGGGGTAACGCGGGTCAGGGCTAACTCGGGTTCGTTTTTCGGGATTCCGAACCCGCGTTGCCCCGGGCCCGAGTTACCCCGGATAACTCGGGCGTCCAGAGCCCCGAATCATCAGGGGCAATTCGGGTCAGGGCTAACTCGGGTTCGCTCTTCGGGATTCCGAACCCGAGTTGCCCCGGGCCCGAGTTACCCCGGATAACTCGGGCGTCCAGAGCCCCAAATCATCAGGGGTAACTCGGGTCAGGGCTAACTCGGGTTCGCTTTTCGGGAGTCCGAACCCGCGTTACCCCGGAACCGAGTTACCCCGGATAACTCGGGGGTGGACAGACCTCCTACCCTGACACGTCGATTAAGGAATTGGCCGTTTTCGGTTCGCAAGAGGGCGTCGCGGCCGTCATTTTTGCGGGTCCAGGTCAGTCGGTTTCGGTCCCAGGCCGTTTTCAGTAAGGGGAGGTCTACTAAAGGGAGGTTTGTCCACCGCCGAATAACTCGGGCGCCCAGTGCAGGGAACTCTCCCGTTCGCCCTGTGGCGAAGGGGCAGGTCCACGCGGCGGCTCGTCTTTCCGGGGGGGGGAGGAGGGAGGAGGAGGGAGGTAGTAGGAGGAGAGGAGGAGGAGGAGGAAGAGTATTGAGAAGGAATAGGAGGATGAAGAGGAAGATGGAGGAAGAGAGGAGGAGGAGTAGGAGTAGGTGAGGAGGAAGAGGAGGAGATGGAGGGGGAGGAGGAGGAGATGGAGGAGGTAGAGGAGGAGGAGGAGGATGAGTAGTATGGAGGGGGGGACGAGGAAGGAGCGGCTAGGATGAGATGAGAGGAGTAAGAGCAGCCGGAGGAAGGAGTATGAGGGATGAGTCAGGAAGAGGAGAGGAAGAGGAGAGGAAAGAGGAGGAGGGAGGAGGAGGACCCCCCCAAGAAAAGGAAACAAACGCAACGACAAGAGACACCCAACAGAACACATACAACGACAAGAAACACCCAACAAACAACAAAACAACAAAACACACATAAAACAAAAAAAACGTTGGCGCTCCCGCAGTGGAGAGGAATGCATGTCAAGGCCTCGCGAGGATGCTACTTGGGACTGGAAGGTCTACTGCACCATCGTTGGTGCATCCTGGGGGTTCACTCTCGTCTTCGATCCTCCCTGGAACCTAGATCCTCCTTCTTGGTACTCCTTGTCCTGGTAGGGTCCTGAGTGGCTCTTCTGCTGAGAGGCTCTTCAGAGGCCCCCGAGAAGGGCCTGCGAGGGTCAGGAGGGGGTCTGGGGGGTGACTCAACAATAACCAGGCTCCCGCTAAGACGTCATTACAATTCATTTGAAATTGGGCCTCCCGCAATACACTCCCTTATTCCATCAGCAACGCCCAAGAGGCATCCGACCTGCTCGTTAGAACATCAGTGACGGCAAGAGCTTCAGATCCTGCCGCGGTCCCGGTCAGAACCCTAAAGCGAGACGCTACTAGAGAAAAGACATGTTTTCTGTCGCGATTGCTTCCCAAGACGAGGATATGCCTGCGTGGGCTTACAGGACTCGTATGGTTTGAAGCTCGCTGAGGGGCAGCGAACGCGATCTCTGTTTCTGGGGCGACGGGGGAGAGGGCAACGCTTTTGCAGGGCAAGAGCAAGCATGAACAGCCCAATCGTCGGCAAGAGCAAACATCTGGAAACAACGCTGCCCCCCCAGCGACCTTCAACGTGTGGATCCCTCCCAGGACGCCCAGGGGAGAGAGGCCGCTGGTCTATGCGATGACGCCTGGCGCAGCTGTGGACCTCGAGGAGTGCCCGCCGCAGCCCCTTCGCTCGGCGTCGTCATCTGTCAGGAGGGGGGAAAACACACAGACACAATTAATCGTCGATCCCCAGAAAATATGGGAAAATATGGGAAGTGGGGGGGAAGACAAAAACCTAGAAAATATTAGAAAATATGGGGATTCCTTTTTACCTAACATCGAAGACTGGTAGGTTTCTAGTGGGGTAAAAAGAGCTCACAGATCACTCCACAGGGGGGTCCGGGCAGGCGTTGGGAGTTGCCGGGCGGCAGGGGGCCCCGCTCGTTTTTCACCAACAGTCACACACTTCGTGCTCTTCGAGTTCCCAGAACTCCATTCCCGGGCCACATTCTGGAGGGCCGGATGCAACAGTCACACACTTCGTGCTCTTCGAGTTCCCAGAACTCCATTCCCCGGCCACATTCTGGAGGGCCGGATGCAACAGTCACACACTTCGTGCTCTTCGAGTTCCCAGAATTCCACTCCCGGGCCACATTTTGGATGCCCGGAGCCAACTGTAGGCCACTTCGTGCTCTTCTATTTCCCAGAACTCCATTCCCGGGCCACATTTTGCATGCCCGGAGCCAACTGTAGGCCACTTCGTGCTCTTCGAGTTCCCAGAACTCCATTCCCGGGCCACATTTTGAATGCCCGTAGCCAACTGTAGGCAACTTCGTGCTCTTCGACTTCCCAGAACTCCATTTCCTGGGCCACATTTTGAATGCTGCTAGCAGGGCTGAGAATTGTGATAGCGATCTGAGGCTGAGCTTGAGGGCAGGCAGTCTGAGGCAGATGAGGCTGAGGCAGGCTGAGGCTGAGGCTGAGGCTGAAGGCAGGCTGAGGCAGACGCTGAGGCTGGCTGAGGCTGAGCCAGGCTGAGGCTGAGGCTGAGGCTGAGGCAGGCTGATGCTGAGGCAGGCTGAGGCTGAGGCTGAGGCTGAAGGCAGACTGAGGCTGAGGCAGGCTGAGGCAGACGCTGAGGCAGGCTGATGCTGAGGCAGGCTGAGGCTGAGGCTGAGGCTGAGGCTGAGGCGGATGCAGGCTGATGCTGAGGCAGGCTGAGGCACAGAGTCTGAGGCTGAAGGCAGACTGAGGCTGAGGCTGAAGCAGGCTGAGGCTGAGGCTGAGGCAGGCTGAGGCTGAGGCTGAGGCAGGCTGATACTGAGGCAGGCTGAGGCTGTGACTGCGACTGCCGCTGCCACTGCGACTGTCATCGCGAATGCGACTGCGACTGCGAGAACAGCAGAACTCTACAACTGGATTCTCATCTGAATCTTAAGGGGAATGCTTCCATATATGCTTCTACACATCGCTGTTAGGTTGCTTTGCCGGGATAATATTTGTGTGTATTTATTTGTGTGTCCTGGGGCCCCTTCACATCTGCCCGTCTCCGGAGCAGGAGACCCCCTCGCGGCGTGAACGCATCAGGACGCACGGTTTTGTGGTAAGCCTCGGCCTCGGAGCCCTTACCGGCAAGCAGCTGCCCAGGGTTTAAAACCGGCCCCCGCGGAACATGTACAAGACCCCCTTGGGGGACGGAGAAAAAGTTGGAAGCTACAGCTGATGCGGCGTCAGACGTCTGGCCGAGGAAGAGAAATACGGTCAACCCGCATGGTTAGGATATGTCGTTGTCGTTGTTTTTGTTGTCATTGTTTTTGTTGTTTTGCCGTTGTCGTTGTTGTCGTTGTCGTTACTTTTCCGGCGCAATCGATTCCACAAGAGTGTGCCGGGAGTGATGTTAGGATGGGCAACCTTCCCCAGGGTACCCTTGCATCCTTGCCGCCTCGGTCCATCCTTGGCCACTCTCGTTGGCCGCGCCCCGCTCGAAAAGCTTCAAACTGGGCGTCCAAGGCCCTTGCATCCTTATCGCGCATCCTTACTACACGGGTTGACTGTAGAAGGGCGAGAAGGCGAAGGAGGGATCTCTCCTACCACCTACCCCCTTTTTTCTTCCGGTCTCTCCGCCCCCCGTCTCTTTCTCACCTTCTCTCTCTCTCTTTCTCTTTCTGCTTCTCTATCTCTCTCTCTCTCTCTCGCTGCTTCTCTCTCTCTCTCTCTCTTTCCCTCGCTCCGGAGGAAAATGACGATGAGAACATTTGTTTCGCCTTTTTACCTAACAGCGAAGACTGATAGGTTTCTAGTGGGGTAAAAAGAGCTCACAGATCACTCCACAGGGGGGTCCGGGCAGGCGTTGGGAGTTGCCGGGCGGCAGGGGGCCCCGCTCGTTTTTCACCAACAGTCACACACTTCGTGCTCTTCGATTTCCCAGAACCCATTCCCAAGGCTCCATTCTGAATAACCGGATGCACAGTCACACACTTCGTGCACTCGAGATCCCAGAAAACGCCATTCCGGGCCACCTTTAGAAAACCGGATGCAACAGTCACACACTTCGTGCTCTTCGACTTCCCAGAACTCCATTCCCAGGCCACATTCTGGAGGGCCGGATGCAACAGTCACACACTTCGTGCTCTTCGAGATCCCAGAACGCCATTCCCGGGCCACCTTTAGAAAAACCGGATGCAACAGTCACACACTTCGTGCTCTTCGAGTTCCCAGAACTCCATTCCCGGGCCACATTCTGGAGGGCCGGATGCAACAGTCACACACTTCGTGCTCTTCGAGTTCCCAGAATTCCATTCCCGGGCCACATTTTGGATGCCCGGAGCCAACTGTAGGCCACTTCGTGCTCTTCGAGTCCCCAGAACTCCATTCCCGGGCCACATTTTGAATGCCCGGAGCCAACTGTAGGCCACTTCGTGCTCTTCGAGTTCCCAGAACTCCATTCCCGGGCCACATTTTGATGGTCTGAGGTTGAGGCTTGGTCAGAGGCAGAGGCATAAGCATGCTGAGGCTGAGGCCGGCAGAGTGCTGAGTGAGGCTGAGGCAGGCTGAGGCTGAGGCAGGCTGAGGCTGAGGCTGAGGCTGAGGCAGGCTGAGGCTGAGGCATGCTGAGGCTGAGGCCGAGGCTGAAGGCAGACTGAGGCTGAGGCTGAAGCAGGCTGAGGCTGAGGCAGTCTGAGGGCTGCAGGCAATGCGAAGCAGACGAGGCTGAGGCTGATGCAGGCTGAGGCTGAGGCAGGCTGAGGCTGAGGCCGAGGCTGAATGCAGACTGAGGCTGAGGCTGAAGCAGGCTGAGGCTGAGGCTGAGGCAGGCTGAGGCTGAGGCTGAGGCAGGCTGAGGCTGAGGCAGGCTGAGGCTGAGGCTGAGGCTGATGCAGGCTGAGGCTGAGGCAGGCTGAGGCTGAGGCCGAGGCTGAAGACAGACTGAGGCTGAGGCTGAAGCAGGCTGAGGCTGAGGCAGAGGCAGGCTGAGGCTGAGGCTGAGGCAGGCTGATGCTGAGGCAGGCTGAGGCTGAGGCTGAGGCTGATGCATGCTGAGGCTGAGGCAGGCTGAGGCTGAGGCCGAGGCTGAAGGCAGACTGAGGCTGAGGCTGAATCAGGCTGAGGCTGAGGCTGAGGCAGGCTGAGGCTGAGGCTGAGGCAGGCTGATGCTGAGGCAGGCTGAGGCTGAGGCTGAGGCTGATGCAGGCTGAGGCTGAGGCAGGCTGAGGCTGAGGCCGAGGCTGAAGGCAGACAGAGGCTGAGGCTGAAGCAGGCTGAGGCTGAGGCTGAGGCAGGCTGAGGCTGAGGCAGGCTGAGGCTGAGGCTGAGGCAGGCTGAGGCTGAGGCTGTGACTGCGACTGCCGTTGCCGCTGCGACTGTCATCTCGAATGCGACTACGACTGCGAGACAGCAGAATTCTACAACTGGATTTTCATCTGAATCTTAAGGGGAATGCTTTCAGATATGCTTCTATATCGCTGTTAGGTTGCTTTGCCGATAAATTTCTCTCTTTCACTTCCCTCTCTTTTTTACCTAACAGCGAAGACCTGATAGGTTTCTAGTGGTCTCAAAAGAGCTCACAGATCACTCCACAGGGGGGTCCGGGCAGGTGTTGGGGAGTTGCCGGGCGGCAGGGTGCCGGGCTCGTTTTTCACCAACAGTCACACACTTCGTGCTCTTCGAGTTCCCAGAACTCCATTCCCAGGCTCATTCTGGAGGGCCGGATGCAACAGTCACACACTTCGTGCTCTTCGAGATCCCAGAACGCCATTCCCGGGCCACCTTTAGAATAACCGGATGCAACAGTCACACACTTCGTGCTCTTCGACATCCCAGAACGCCATTCCCGGGCCACATTCTGGAGGGCCGTATGCAACAGTCACACACATCGTGCTCTTCGAGTTCCCAGAACTCCATTCCCGGGCCACATTTTGAATGCCCGGAGCCAACTGTAGGCCACTTCGTGGTCTTCGAGTCCCCAGAACTCCATTCCCGGGCCACATTATGAATGCCCGGAGCCAACTGTAGGCCACTTCGTGCTCTTCGAGTTCCCAGAACTCCATTCCCGGGCCACAGTTTGAATGCCCGTAGCCAACTGTAGGCAACTTCGTGCTCTTCGACTTCCCAGAACTCCCATTCCTGGGCCACATTTTCAGCAGGGGCAAGAGCACGACGAGGAGGAGGACGAGCAAGACCAGGAGGACGAGGACGAGCAGGAGCAGGACGAGGAGCAGGAGGAGCAGGAGAAGAAGGACGAGCAGGAGGAGGAGGAGGACGAGCAGGAGGAGGAGGACGACCAGGAGGAGGAGGACGACCAGGAAGAGGAGGAGGAGGAGGAGGAGGAGGGGGGGGGAGGAGTACCAGGAGGAGGAGGAGGAGGAGGAGGAGGAGGAGGAGGAGGAGGAGGAGGAGGAGGAGGAGGAGGAGGACGAGGACGAGGAGGAGGAGGAGGAGGGGGGGGGAGAGTACCAGGAGGAGGAGAACGAGGACCACCAGGAGGAGGAGGAGGAGGAGGAGGAGGAGGAGGAGGAGGAGAGAACACCAGGAGGAGGAGGACGAGCAAGACGAGGAGGACGAGAACGAGGACGACCAGGAAGAGGAGGAGGAGGAGGAGGAGGAGGAGGGGAGGGGGAGGACTACCAGGAGGAGGAGGAGGAGGAGGAGGAGGAGGAGGAGGAGGAG